GTATCAGATATCTAGTTTTTGTCAATGCTAAATCGCTGAATATGTGCAAATTTGAGCAAAACGCGATTGATAAAATTACTTCATTGATAAGACTAACCATGCAAAATATTATAATGCAATCATATTTTTGCATATTATTGACCATGTTTTTACGAATTTGTGCCACACAACAGTATACATATGGCAAACAAATAAAAATAATTAAAATAAAGAATGTCAATCCAAAATGAGTATCGCAGCCAATATAATTAGAGAAGTTGCATCTTGTACTTATCATTCCAGCTACCAAAATGCATGGTGATGCTTGTCCCATTATGAAACAAATATTGAGGAAATAATGACAAAATTTCATTTCAAAATTTGAGATGGATTTTGACAATATTATGACAAATGAATTCAATGTTATAACCATAATATTTCTTTTAAAATTGCAACATATACATTATTTCTTGATTTTAATGAAACTGAGACTATATTAATAATTGTTGCATTGTCTTAGTTACCTGTTAGATTTCACTCTCATTTTAGAAAAATGAAAAGAGAGTAAGATTGAATTTAACCACAAATCAATATTTTACATTTTTACTATCATTAATCTCCTTTAATTAAATCATTTAATGCAAGATGATTTTATCCAAAAGCTATTTTGGTTAAATATGGTTTACATTATATACAATTCATTATAGAAATACACACTATGATATTTTGTAGTGATTTTATCAATTGAATAAGTTCAATTGTGAGAGTTGGGATAATCACATCACATTAAATATGGTTTTCATACTGTTATTAGCATTTAGTAGTTTGAAGAGAGGAAAGATGGCATTGGATGATAACCAAATTCATTCCGAATTAATGAAAATTCATAATGATGTCATCAAGTTAAAAAAGGAAATAAGAAATATTGGTTTGAAAATCCTTGCTTTCAGGCAGATAAAAGAATCAAATCAAACTATCTCAGGGAAGAAAGATATCCAGAATCTGTCACAAAATCAAAAAGAGAATTTGGAGATATGGTTCTATTGTAATTGCATATCCAAAATTGGGGAGACAGAGATAAAATAGATGAAATTTAATATATTTCTTTTGCTAATGAAAAACTTTTTTACATTGTAATGAAAACTTGTAATGAAAGTAAAAATATCCTATCTGTAATCAATACAGAATTTCGAAATGTTTTACAGATATCGTCATACTTATAAACAATTATACTTTCATAAGTTAAATCATTCTCAAAGTCATTCTTTTCATCAACAACAATTAGATTGGTATATTTGCCTTCTTGGTTTGTATACCTTAGTTCCGGAAGGTTACAATTCGAAAAATACATGATGTCATTCAAGGAAGAAACATAAGCAAACCATACTCTGAATATATTATTAGCAAAACTACAATAACTGCAATTGAGAGTAACATTCCAAGTGAGGAATATCGAATGATAAAAGTTGTTCTCAATAGCATTAGAATATCTTATAAAGTAGATTGAATTTCCTTCTATCAGAATCGTATCTCATTAATATTTCATGAGATTGATTAGTTTTAGTTAATAAGCAGAAAAGTATATTATTAGTAGGAGCGGATGAAATAACATAAAAGCCACCCCAATAGTAGCATTGGTTTTTCGTTATATTATTATCTTTTAATAAGATCCGGCCACCTTGAAGGACAATAGTGCCGGTTGTAGAGGACGTTTGATGATCTATATCTGGTCCGCAGTTCGCAATAGTAGAAGAGACTAATTTATTATTAAATTCAGCTTGTTTTGTGATTATTATATGGCAGCTTTGGCCTGCATTATTTGTTGATATACTAGAAAGGTATAAAACTTTATTTTGAAAGCATTCGCCTTTTGATGAATATTGAACGGATCCGCCTCTCTCGTTAGATGAGCATTCAGAGAAGCAGCAAGTATCAACATTTAACTTATTTTCATTGCTTGTTGAGGATATCTTAAGACTACTTCGAGAATTGAAATCTTTAAAAAAAGAATTATAAACTAAATAACTTTTCGATGTGGTTCTAAGTGGCCCTTCCTTGAACGCATATACGGTTCCATTGAAGTCTTGATTGATTAAATATGAGTCATCCGTTATGTTATGTTCATAAAATCATTGAAAATAAAATGTCAATTTTTGATTTTCAATGGCACCCACTCCCAAAAAAAAAGTCGATATTACTTTCATAGTATTCAAGTCTCTTTTAATGAGTGAAAAAAAAAAAAAAAAAAAAAGGTAGTGGGGCTTCCAGGCACTTCGTGCCCTCTAGCCCCGAAGATGTTTAGTATAAATGAAGTTTTTATTCGGAAAATTGTTAGTCTTCTGGTGTGAATTCGGAGGACTCTTCTTCTTCCTCCATTGCTTCTGGGAAGAAGCCTTCTTCTGGGTCGAAAACATTATATAATGTTTCACTTTTCACAAATTATATATGTTTTCATGTTTTGTCACTTTTCTGTCACTTTTCAGGAAAAAACATTTTTATTATTATATATAAATGAATTTTACAAAACCACCGTTACCGTTCTTTGGAAATAAGAGTAAATGTAAAGATATTATATTGAGAGAACTTAAGAAACTACCGAATGGTCTAACATTTGTAGATTTGTTCGGTGGAAGTTTCTATATATCTCATTTATGTCATACCGTATTTCCTGACTCAAAGATTATATGCAATGACTTCGACAACTATATGGACCGTCTCAAACATATTCCAGACACAAACAACATATTGAAAGAGTTAAAAGAAAAGATACCTATAGGTAAGATGGAACGTATACCATTAGATAAGAAAAATATTGTGAGAGAGGTTTTGAAAAAAGCAGAATATATAGACTGGGATAGTATATCTGCTAGACTATTATATAGTGGTTCTATAAGAGTTCATGACATTGAAACACTTATGTCAAAAGTTTTATATCTTAACTATACAAATGTTTTCAAAGAGGACATAGATAAATATATTGAGGGTATAGAGTTTGTGAGATGTCATTGGACAGAGTTGTATGAAAAATATAAAGACAAGGAAAATGTTTTCTTTATAGTGGACCCGCCGTTCTATAACACATGGGATTTTCAATACCAAGTAGACTGGACTTTGAGAGACTCTTTAGAAACTTTAGACGTTATACATAACCATCCATGCTTTTACTTTACATCCGATAAAAGTGGTTTAGAAAGTGTCATGAAATGGCTAGAAGATATAAACGACTATGAGTTTAGATATGACAAGATAGAATATGAGAGAGGTCCTATAAACTGGAGAAAGTGTCATAACAAAGAAATTTTATTAGTAAGTAAATGTGGTTTGAAATAGGACTACTTGTTTTAGGTTTTTTCCATTGTGTCATTTATTTATTTGACGTGGCAGAAAAGTACAGAGAATATGAAGATGAACCAATGCCTGCAAATGTTCAGTATATGTACTCGTAAGAGATATTTTTATCTAATATTAAATGGACGCACAGAACTTAGCGAATGCACAGCAACCTGGACAACCAAACCCAGAGAATATTCCAAATGAAGTTAGAATACAAACTGCAATGGCAAACTATGGTCAAGTGCCAACAGATGTACAAATGCAAACTGCCATGTCAAATGACGCTGCGTTAGGTTTGCCACCATGGTATGCAAATATGAGATGGAAAGAGTTTTATACAAACCCTGAAGTGGGATATAAACAACTTTATGCAGATGACGCGAACACAGGAGTTGACCCAGAATATGTTTTCTACCAGAGGAGAAACAGAATGTATGAGCTCCAGTTAAAGAATGCTATGGAACTCAACAGGAAACATAAGAGACTAGGCGGACATTAGATTTTTACATATAGTAAAATGGGTTTCTTCAGTAAGATAGGAAACTTCTTTCGAAATGTTGGAAGAGGTATATGGAATGGAATAAAAAACGTAGGAAGAGGAATTTGGAACGGAGTCAAAAATATTGGTAAAAGAGTAGGTCAGTTCGTTGGTATTATACCTAAAGACCCTGAACCAGAAGAGCAAGCTCCTGTTATACAACAGCCTGAACCTGCACCACAGTCTAGTTGGCAACCAAATCCAACACCACAACCGGTATATTAAAAAATTATATTTTTACCGTTCGATAGTAGTTGTATATGAAACTAAGTTCTAAGTAAAACACATGGTATAATGGAATTATTCTTTTTCTTCCATCTGTAGTAAACCATACTTGAAAGTCTGAAATACTTCCACTTGGTGGTTCGTATAACTTTGTAGGTTTTTCGTAAAAATCATTTGCCAAGCATAAGAAAGAGTTTTGGGCGCCAGAAAATGAAGCATGAACAATAATAGCAGCTGGGTCGAAAACATCTTTAAATAAATATGGTTCATCTCTTGCATATCGACTGTAAATATTTGCTAAAGGAAGTTCGACTTTCTGATTTAACATTCTTTGCAAATAATACCATGACATTGCAGTGAATTCTGTATATATTTGTTCGTCTTTCTTTGGATTGTCTTCGTAGATTTGAAATGACACTTGTGAATTTTGTTTGTCATATACAATTCTCACATAAAGTGTGCTCTCGGTATTTGCATATTCATCAGCATATTTTGCATAACATGAATTTATTTTATCTTCTATATTTTTTAACGCAGTCTGTAGAGAAGATGAAAGGTCAACTTGTATTAGCTCAATTTCTTCCCACATTTTTCGTTTCCCTTCAGATATATAATCTATATGAAACCTTACAATAAATGGAAAACTTTTATCTTCTACAGACACAAACTTCATTCTACGAAAGCCAATAGCTTTTGTGACAGATGGGTCTCTTAGCCATCTTAATGGGTAGTCAAAACGATAGCCTTCATGCTTTACGGTCTCTGTCTCAAACTTTTGACCGACATTAGTAAAAAGTTCATCTAATGGTTTAGTTGTAGCAACTCTTGAATTTTCTTTTTCTATTGGAAGCATATTTTATCTAGAATAAAAATGTCAAATGAAACAGCGTCTATGAGAGAAATACAACACAACCGACAACTCATTATGCAAGCTCTAAATAAGAACACAACAAACTTTTCAAACTATTCTAAGATATCTGAGTCATTGAAAGAAGGAAACTTAAAACTGACATTAAACCCAATGACAGATGAGTTTCTATTTCAAGACAAGAAGAACAATACTGTCTGTATAAATCCAACAAAAGGAACTTTAAACGAGAAACCTATAAATGAACTTCTTTTGAAAGCAGATGTTGACAACAAAGCTGACAAAGAATATGTAGACGATGCAATAGCAAAAGAAGAAGAAAGAGCTAACAATGCTTATGCAACAAAAGAACATACTCATCCTGAACTAGCAGACAAAACATATGTTGACAATAAAATGTCAAGTGAAGTGACAAGAGCTGAAAACGAATATTCTAAAAAGACTCATATACATTCTATATCTGATATTACAAACTTACAAGAAACCTTAAACAGTAAAAGTGCCGTTGGACATACACATACATCTTCTGAAATAACAGACTTAAACGTTAGCCTTGAAAAGAAAGCAGACAAGAACCATACACATGATTTCTTCACAACTGTTGCTATAGAAAGTATTGAAGGAACGGTTGAAGAAACTGGTGGGGATGCATTATATTGTAAACCTCCTAACTTTCCACAAGGTTTAACATCGGATGACGACATAACGACGATGAGAAACATTAGATGTAAAGATGTTTATGTCATGAAGGATGAACATAATATTAAATTCACTGCTCAAGATTTATATGACAAGAAAGCAGACAAAACAGAGCTTCAAACATTAAAGACAGAAATGCTTCAAACATTATATCCTATAGGCTCTATTTATACGTCAATGAACTCTACCAGACCAGAAACAGTTTTAGGTTTTGGAACTTGGACTCAAATAGTCGACAGGTTTTTGTATTGTGCAAACTCTTCAAAGGAAACAGGTGGAAGTAAAACGATTTCAGGTGAAAATTTACCTGCACACAGTCACTACATAGATTTAAGTACATCTCAAGCAGGTTGGCATAAGCATAGATATTGGGATTGGTCAGCAATGACAAAAGGTAAAGGATATGATGTTAAAGACAACGTTAAGTTTGCTATAGATTGTTACTGGAGTAACACTGAGGGAGGAGGAAACCATACACATCGCGTTACAGGATATACGCAAACAACGGGACAAAGTAAAGACTACATGCCACCTTACATGACAGTTTACGCATGGTATAGAAATGCTTAGTCGTCATTTTCAACTTCTTTAGCATATTCGTCAGGAGTTGTCTTATATTTGTTAGGAACTGTCTTTGAAAGTATACCACCTTGAACTTTGACAAGTTTGAAACGAGGTCTGACAATAGTAGTTTTATCTTCTGCTTGCAGTCTGTACATTTTGCCATGTTTGCCTAAAACTTCATAATATTCTCTTGTATACTTTCTTCTATTTTTACGAACACGAATGTGAGTACCTGTCGGGTTCCCATTGTTGTCATAGTCAATAGTATTTTCATATGGGTCGCGTTTAGGTATTTCTATTTTTACTTTGTCACCTTTCTGAAGTTTGAAGCCCGGCATTCTTTCTTGTTTGTCTCTTTTGACTAAATTATTAAATATATAGTCTTTCTCTAAGTCAGGGTGTTTTTCATTTCTTCGGGGAGTGGTTTCCCAAACCTTTTTGTTTACGGCTATTGTAAATATTTAAAACTTGTCTCATCTTTGCCATGGAGAAGTGTCTATATTTGTCGTCATATGACATTTCATTTGCTTCACCACCTTGTGGTTGGTTTAAGTCTCTTAACATTTTTATACAACCGTCAATGACACCAAGAGCAGAATGGTTTTGGTCGACAATGAAATATTGGTTTACATTTTTTGAACGCAGATAGTTTTTACATCATCTGATTTGAAAGAACTTTCACAGTCAGATGTCAGTTTTGTTGGATGGTATTTGTCAACGAATATTGTCAAAGCTGCTAAGATATCTAAAATAGCTTTGGACTGTAATGGTATGGCTTCACAGTATCTTGTGTTTTGACCAACAAATATTAGCCAGTATGGTGGTCCATCTTCTCTATACCTCGGAATGTTTTCCAAGATATCCATAAACCAAGCATTTGGTGTTGAACTAAAGATTTTTATCATGAGTGCTTTCTTTGTTGCTTTAGAAACATAGGGGTACTTGTTCGGATTCGTCATTTTTTATCCTATAAGAAATGGGTTTATTTGGCGCATTAGCAGGAGTTGCATCCAGATTTTTGCCCGCAGTTGGAACAATAGCCAGAGGTGTATTTGGAGTTGGAAGGAAGATTTTGAGTACATTAGGTATACTTAAAGAGAAAGCACAACCTATTATACAAACTGTACAGAAAGGTTGGGATGTAGCACGAGATGCAACAAATCTTATTCCAAATCCTGAAACAAGAGGAAAAGTTCAAGGATGGATGGACAATGTAGGAAGACAAGCAGGAAACTATTATAACAAAGCAAATGACTACTATAACCAAGCAGGACACTATATGGACCAAGGTGAAAGATTCTTTAACAGAGGATATAACCATGCACAACAATGGGTAAACAATAACCAACCTCAACCGCCTCAAACGTGGGGAATGTAAAGTTTTTTACTGAGATGAAATGAACAATACAGCATTGAGACAAATGGGTTCAAGATGGATTTGTCGACTTCCAGCAGTTACACAACGTGTTTGTCAAGTTCTTCCTATACCTCAGGAAGTTTTAGACCGACTTAAAAAACAACAACAACCAGTTGAAAACAAACCAAACTAAAATTTTTTACTGAGATGAAATGACCGAAGAAGTTGAAACGGTAGATTTGACACCACAAACAAAAAGTTCAGAACCATTGTCAAAACCTGTCAAAGAACTTACAGATGAAGAGAAAAATTCAATAATAGAAAGTGCCAGGTCTGGAAATACAAACCCTAACTATAAAGTCACTTTTCATAGAAATGGAACGGCTAGTATCTCAAAAAAGAAACAGACTCTCACAAATAAAATATTGAAGTCTGAAGGAGCTTTCGAGACAACAGATGGAAAAGTTTACTTCACTGACCAACAGTTCATTATAGAACATCTCATTGACTTAGAGTCGAAATATTCTAAACTTTACAACAAACACAAAAAGTTGAAAGGAAAACAAAAACAAATGGCATATGATATTTATGAAGATGTTGACGACACAACTGTTCCTGCAGGTGAGGTAAAGTCAGAGGAACCGAAAAGTGACGAAAAACCGATAGAAGAAGAAAAACCAAAAACTGAAGATAAACCAAAACCAAAGTTTAGTTTCCAAACTAAACCAAGTCAACCTTCATTAGCTGGTATGGGTTGGCGTCAAAGACTTATGGCAGCAGGCGGTTATGTAAAGTAAAGAAAAAAAATATTTTTTTATTTTTATAAAAATGCCCCCATATAGAATGGATAGAAAGTCTGCTAGAATAAAAGCAGAGTTGCAAAGATATGGTTGGAGAGTTTCGAAGAAGTTTAAATATAAGAAAGGAAGACCCATAAAAGTCTATGACAAACTGGCTGGTCTTCGCTACGAAATGGATTTGGAAACAGCACGTGCAAATTATCCAAACAGACTAGAGAGGTTAGAAGAAGAACGTCTTATGGACATGCCTTTCGATGTTAGTGAACCTCAAGTTGAAGGACACGACGGCTTTGCCAGATTCTACTGGAAACATGACGAACAATTGCATCCTTTGAGAAGGAAAAAAGGTAGTGCAGAGGATGGTCATGCTCCCATGGAAAGAACAAGATATGCATATGAAAAGTACCGTGAAGTTAGAAGTCAAATTACATCTGGTCGAACTTTTACAGTAAACTTTGACGAAGGAAAGAACAAAGAAGGCTTCATGGGTGTACTTGCTGCAATTCAAGACGGAAATAAGAAAGGACACAATCTCAGATTGACCATAACGGATTTGGATGGTCACATTTACTATGCAAATGGCAATGAACAAACAGCTGCAAAACTTCTTGACGCTTTCAAGACTACAAAGAGAGAACAAATGGTTGACTCCGACTCAGACATTTTGAATGCAATTGAAGGAATTGCAAGTGTCAAGTTCGAATGGTACCAACCTAACCCTCAAGCAGTCAGACAACATGCTGGATACTTTCCGTTCATAAATAAGTCTGACATTGACTTGACAAGGTATGGAATTTACAATTCAATTGAAACAATTGTCAATGAACCTTGCATTCTTACATGTCTCAGGAACTCTGGTCTTGTTTCAGAAGAGAAGATGAAGTATCTTGAGTCATGTGTGAAGACAAGGTACATTCTCAGAGGTCAATTGGCAAAAATTGCACCGTTGGCAAATGTCAATATCCGAGTCAACATACCTACAGCTAAAGGTTCTTCACATGACGACTATGTTGTTGAGTTCAATTTACCATGGTTGAAGATTGTAATTGTCCACAACCACTTCATGTTGAACGAAAGTCTTACAAACCCATTGTTCGGAAAAGGCAAGTGCAACATTGTCAGAGCTGTAAACATTCTTTTCGAGAAAGGTTTGTTGGAACCAATTCCAGATGACAAGCTGACAGAAACTTTTGTACCAAAAGACGAAACAAACTTTTCATTGTTAGCAAGACCAAAAGTTGTTCCAGACAAAGTTCTAGTACAAAAGAAGTACACAATTCCACAAGGAGTTGGATTGTTCGGATACCAACCTGAACCAAAAGAACTTCCAATGAGGTTGCAAGAACTTCAAGATGCTATAAACAAACTTCCATTGAGACATCCAATTGACGTCAAATTGTATTGGAGAGCTTCTGAGTTAGGTCAGAAGGTTTTATATGAAACAGGTTGCTTCGACGATGTTTATGAGATAACAGGAGAAGTTTCTCAGAAGATAAGAGACTCACTTGAATTTCCACAAACTGGACCAATTGGTTGCGACAAGTTCGACTCAAACGAAAAGATATACTATGTCGACCTTAACGCTGCATACATGAGGTTTGTCCAATATATTCCGACTGGAATTCCAAACGAAGATGGTGAGTTCCCGGGAAGGAACTATACAGTTGGAAAAGTCATACAACAACTGTATGATATTAGGAAAGCTTCAAATCCCAAACTTGCAATGACACTCAAATTGCTTATGAATTCGACATGGGGATATTCCATTAAAAAACCTCAAGAGATGAAGAGTAAACATTATGAGAAGGTCGACAACTTTGTTGAAAGGTTTTCTCCTTTTGTTTTGAAGTACGAATTCACTCAAGGTCAAAGTGGCTTAGTAACCACATTAAAACCTATTGTCGAACATTGGTCTTACCCTCAGTTCGCAAAGGCAGTCCTTGACAACTACAACAAATTCTTCTCCGAAGTCAAATCGAAAGTTGTGGTTTACTATGAGAACATTGACGCACTCATGACGAACGAAGAAGGGTACAACAAACTCATTGAAATGGGCATGGTCAGTGAAAAGATGGGCTGTTTTAAGCTAGATAAGGTATTTTCCGAAGTTCATGTCCTCTCCAAGCGTAAGTACTGGGGTATACTTGAAGACGGCACAGAAATAAAACATTGCATGAAATAAAAAATTTATTTTTAAAAAAGTGACATTTTTAAAATTTTATTTGAAATGTACGCTGAGTTTGTTGGAGAAGACCGTTGGGAAACTTGTTTGTTAGATGAGAAATATGAAATGGCATACCATTTTAAAACAATATATTTTTACATATATTAAATGCTTCAGGTTGAAAAACAAAGAACAAAAGTAGCAGATACAAAACCGTTAGACTATATCTTTACAAATGCTGGTAGGACTATTTCAGATGAAGAAATTTCATCCCGAGTATACAGGTTTGACTATCCAATTCGTTGGCTTCAAAGTCCTTCAGATGCAAAGGCAATAGGATTTAGAAGAGTTTTGTTTTCAAATAGAACTAACGCATTTATGTTCGCAGTATATTTTCATGGGCAGTATAAAGGTTCTGATGGTCTAATAGACAAATTTGACGAAATGAGAATCTTTACAGTTCGTTCAGACGAAAGTCTTGAGAAAACTCTAAATGACTTTCAAACTCAAATGAACAAATATTATTGGGAATTTCAAGAAAAATACGACTCTTTACTAAATGGAACATACTATCTGAAACTAGAATATGACAAGATGAACTCCGCCGTTTCATTTCAAAAGATTGAAATTAACCCTCCAAGAGGTACAGAGTTTTTATTTTGGGAAGTAGACAAACGTTCTTGGGCACAATTTCTTCGGTTACTAAACCAGAACGAACCATTACCACCAGATGGTCCATTTAAATTTATACTTCCACCAGCAGATTTGACAGTTTATAGAAACGTGTTTGACCCTCAAAATGTTATGTGTCATGCAAGTTTCAGTTCAAGCAACAATAGTTTTCTATGTATTGGTAAGGACTTTTATGACTTTGCTTCTAAATTCTACGAACCACCTAGTAACAGTTTCTCTGACTTTCAAGTTTGGTTCACAACAAATGGTGTGCAACATATTATTCCATTGTACTATGACTTTTATCTCGAATTGTCTTTCATATATAACTACGGAAAAGTGCTGAAAAAGTATTGAAAAATAATGTTTAGGTGAAGAGGTGAGATCTCACCTCTTTTTTCACCTCTTTTCTCACCTCATGAATTTGTCAAAACTTCTTCGTAATGAGTGTAAAGGACCCAAAAATATAATTTAGGGTAGAAGGTTAGATCTAACCTCTTTTCTAACCTCTTTTCTACCCTCTTGAATTTGTCATGATTTCATCGTACATGTTTTGTCAAGACTTCTTCGTAATGAGTGTAAATCAGACAAAAATATAATTTAGGGTAGAAGGTTAGATCTAACCTCTTTTCTAACCTCTTTTCTACCCTCTTGAATTTTCATGAATTTTCCCGAAATAAAAAATAAAGTTAGTTTTATTTTTTTTATTTTTTTATTTTGTATAAAAGACATGATTTCAACAATCGGCACAACAACAATTCAAACAACAGCACCAAACTCGTTAGTCATGAATCCAACATCTATGTTAGTAGAGATGAAAAGCTTCATTCCTTCTTCATATACTTTTGAAACAGAAATCCAGAAGATAAAGCAAGAACTTTTAACAAGCAATTTAGACTGTAGTGCGAAAGATGAAACAAATGAACAGTATCTTTATGAAATGCAGGACCTCATCGACCATTTACCCAAATTGCCTGAAATCCAACAACAAAAACTCACTATTCCCGAATTCGACGAAATTGAAGTCAAAGCAACTGACTCAGTAGAAATAAAGAAGTTCATTCGTAAGGTAAACTATGAGTTTCTTGGATTTCATTGCAACCATAAGGTTATGGACAAAGATTGCGACATGGTATATAAGAACATCTCTGACATATATAAATCTGGGGAGTTTAAGACCTACGACAACTTTGTTTCGTTAGTTGCTGAATGTGTATGGCAGATAAGAGATAAAGATAGAAGAGGTAAGGTATGGAATGAACAAATAAAACCAGCAGCTTTTGCGTTAAAGAAAACCATTGACGCTTTAGTTGTTTTAGCTGGTTTTATTTCAATGTATAACGCAAAAATGAACCCGCAATGTTCTAAATGTAAAGCAGCAATTAGGAAATATAACTACTCCGTCAAAGAGATAGAACGTATGAGAAACGACTATGCAGATTTAAAGAAAGAAGCAGAAAAACCAGCAGAAGATAAAATGAACATGTTAGAATTTCTGAACAAAAACTATCCAACAGCAGAAGATTTCCTTCTATCTGACGTCAAGAAGAAATATAAAGAGACTTTCGGCATAGTTAAAACATTCGATGTACTAAAAGAAGAAATAGAAGCTACAAAACTGTTTAGAGTCTCACGAATTCATAACGTTTACCATGTGAAACGCTTGTGAAAAAAAGAGGTTAGAAAAGAGGTTAGAAAACAGGTTAGATCTAACCTTCTACCCTAAAATATATTTTGTGCTGAATTCCGTATGAAAATCTGAGTAAAATAATTTTTAGGGCTTGTGTCAAACCGTTGAGTTTTCACAAAATTTAAAAAATAACGTTTACCATGTAAAACGCTTATAAAATAACTGGGGTAGAAAAGAGGTGAGAAAACAGGTGAGATCTCACCTTCTACCCTAAAATATATTTTTATTGAATTCAGCAACAAAAATCTGAGTAAAATGGCATAAGATTGCTTCCCGAGGAAAACCGAGAGAAGAGATTCCGTATGAAAATCGTAAAAATTGCGAGTAGGTAAGAAAACGTAGTCGCCAAAACTCTATGAAAATCGTGAAAATTCTCTAGAGCGTTTTTTTTCGGTCTTGCATAAAACTCATGAAAATCAGTGAAGAACAGCGAGTACGTAAGAAAACGTAGTCGCCAAAACTCTATGAAAATCATGAAGAACAGCGAGTACGTAAGAAAACGTAGTCGCCAAAACTCTATGAAAATCATGAAGAACAGCGAGTACGTAAGAAAACGTAGTCGCCAAAACTCTATGAAAATCATGAAGAACAGCGAGTACGTAAGAAAACGTAGTCGCCAAAACTCTATGAAAATCATGAATTTCCTTAAGATAGAAAAAATAAAGTTAGTTTTTTATAAAATATTTTTTTTATCTTGTATGTAAGAACATATATGACAAACATTGAGTTTGAAACAGTTAGAAAGATAGACAATGACACCAAAGTGGTTAGAATAGGTGATTTAAACGTAAGATACTCAAAGAAATACAACAAATATTCTTTGTCAGACATTATATCTCCATCTGGAAAGAAAACATCCCACGACTGGGTTAAAATTGCTTCTACTCAGAAAATTTTGACAAGAAATCCTGAGCTTATGATATCGGTAAGATTCTATGGAACTACAGCATATCTTATAGACAAAAGTCTTATACCAATAGTTTTGTTATGGTTAGACCCAGTTGTTGGATATAACTTCATAACATATGGTTCATTCGATACGGAACGTTGCAGTGAAGGCTTACTTTACATCGTTCAGAAACCGAAGGACTTCAATACAAAGAGATATAAGATAGGAAGAACATATAATATAACTCAAAGATATGACAGTACAGTCAATAGAGTCAAGGTTGTGTTTGCTAATGATATGAGAGCTGCAGAAACAGAACTACTTGAAAAGTTTGAGAAAATGTATGGTGCTCCCATAAAAGGTAAAGAAACGTTTGAAGTAGATGAGATAGATAAAGCTATAAAATTATTTGACGAAGTTGCTGAAAAATACATGTAAAGCGTTTATTTTTGGTCTTTTGTGAAAGTCAGAAAATAACGCTAATTTTTTATAAAATATTTTTTTTATTTTGTATGTAAAGACAGATATGTCAACAACCGAGAACACAACAACAGTTATAGTCCATGAAGCTATAAATGAAGAATATGAGTGGGTTCAGTTTAACAAACAACTCCGTCTCATTCGTTCGGTCAAAGACGATATGTACCAAATGCAAAGTATTTTGACAGCATGTTTTGCTCCAGATACTAAGAAACCACAAGACTGGTTTAGGAACCAAAGCACACAAGAACTTTTGAGCGAAGCACAGCGAGACATACTTTTTTCTGAAAACAGTGAAGAACAGCGAGTGGGAGGGAAACCCCAGTCGCCTAAAACTCATGAAAATCGTGAAGAACAGCGAGTACGTAAGAAACCCCAGTCGCCAAAACTCTATGAAAATCGTGAAAAATTGCCAAACGGTTTGAGAGGATATTATGTACATAGACTTCTTGTAAATGCTGTTGCAATGTGGGCTTCGCCTCGTTATGCTTGGAATATTTACAGACTTCTTGACGAAATTCATAGACAAGAACGTGAAGAGCTAGAGAACAAGCTTGAAGCAAAAGACAAAAGCATTCAGAAAAGAATACCACGTTCGGTACCAAAAGGAAAGGAAAAGAACTATAAGTATATGATTTATACTGAAGAGATGGAAAATGAAGAAGACAGAGATATGGTTATGTTGCATTTAGTCAGAAGAAACAACAAAAGCTTTTCCGACCTTGCTAAGATTTACAAATCTGACAGAAATTGGTTCTATCGCGAAAACTTACCGATTTCAATGACACCGAATGAAGATGTGAAACAAATAGTTCAAGATACGTTACCTCAAACACACTATGATATGAAAGGTTGTACAATACTTACCTTCAAAGAAGACTTACCGCTACTGAAAGAAAAAATAACAGAGTATTTTGACAACTTCAAACAAGTAGGGTAGATGAACTCTTTATTTTTCAAGCTTGACTTCAGATGGCTCAAGTAGCTCAATTAGGTAAATTGCCTCGTCAAATCCTTCTGGCATTCCGAGTCCTTCCTTCCGACAGAAAAATATTTTCCCGACAACTGGAAAAATTTTTCCCGACGACAAGAAAAAATTTTCCATCCGACAAAAAAAAATTTTCCAGTTGTCCGTCCGTAAACCATTCAAATTTTCGAAAATTGAGAACTTTTTGGTCGAACTTCAGGAAAAGTTTTTCCTTCCAACAAAAAAAATTTTTCCTTCCGACAGGAAAAGTTTTTCCCGACAACTGGAAAAGTTCTTCCTTCCGACAGGACACAAACGAATGTCTCACGTCCCTCTTCCTGAATGTCTTCCAAAGCCAGAAGAACCGACAGCCCCAGCACCACAACAGACTTACTAAGACTAAACACTTAGATTTTTCAAGCTTGACTTTTTACAATTTGAACTTTGTTTGCGTAGATATGAATTCTGAAAGAAGTATGAGGGTCTTGTATGACTTTGTACTTCTCCCATAGTTCATGTCTGTCAAACTTACCTGCCATGGACTCTTTCATAAGTTCCATGAAATCGTCTTCGGACAATCCGGGGAAAAGTATAATGTCAGTCAGTATTCTTTTAACATCCTTACTTAAACTCTTTGCTGTCTGTACACAAATGACAACTGAGATGTTAAAGTGTCTGAGCTTCTTAAGAATTCGACACATGTCTTGTTCTCTGTTCTTTAACAAAGGATGAGAAGCAAAGTCATCTAAGATAAGAAGACATCTATGAGGGTATGTCTTCCAATCGTAAGATTGCAATTTCTTCGAAATGTATTCTATCTCTTTCTGTTTGTTTCTGAAGTGTTTCTTCTCTAATATTCTCTGCATTTCCTCATTTGGGTCTTTGAACTTAGAATTTATATACTCATTTATAGCATTGTACTTCAAAACCCTTCTTTGGTACTTCTTTATCCAATCTAACAACTCAGTATCCTTTATACATACTAACTTAGACTTCTTTATAATATCTTTGAACGAATTGACGGTTTGGTCAAATTGACCAGAAGTACTACAAATAACAACTAACTCATAGAATGGGTTCTTCTCATCTAGTTCTTGTTGTTGTGCAGCCATTTTAAGATAAGTGAAAGTCTTACCCGACCCAGGTGGTGCGATTAGACCTGTTATACCATTCTGAGCAAATAAGAACTTTTCATGTATAGGTTTTATCTGAGCATTTTCTAACTTCCTCTTGTTCTTGTTTAAAACATTCTCAAATTTCTTGTCAATGTCAGCAAACTTTTTTTCTAACATATTTTTAGAAAAATTAAAATTTTTATCTTTTAGAAAATGTCTAGCGATTTCGCTATCTATATTCGAGACAAGCTTTTCGACAGCAAAACATCTGTCGACCATAAAATCTTACATAGTGTAAACAAGAAAGGTGAATTTGTTCTAAAGTTCTGTTTCTGGGAATATGACAAGAACCATAAAACATTAAGCAGAGCAGTCTTAAAATTTGTCAATGACAGACTTGTTGACAGAGATGACGCCTCTTGGAGAGATGAAGTCCAACAAAACTTCTTAGAATGCAAAGAAGACACATGCGCTGTTCTTGAAGATGAAATAGAAAACAGAATAGATGAGCTATTAAAGGACAAAGAACTTTTACAGAAATATGGTTCTGAGAAATTTGACATAACTCCACCAGAAAAGAAGAAGAGAGAAAAGAAAGAGAAGAAAGTAAAAGAAGAGAAGAAAGAACCTGAACCAGTTCCAGAGAAAAAGAAATTTGACATGTAAAAATAAAATTTTATTTTTAGAACATTTCTGGGTCAATGTCAATGTTCTCTTCCTCTTTAGGAGTAAACACTGGCTTAGACTCTAAAATCTTTTTACCCAATTTACCTTGAACTTCAACTATCTTAGACTCATAATATTCATAGTCGTCTGCTTTCTTTGGTTCATAAGGTATAACAAGTTTGTATGCTTTGCCTTCTTTAAGGTTTGAAAACCTTCTGTCAAAACTTTCTTTGACTGCTAACAAACCTTCTATGTCTAAGTCTTCAAATTTCGCACCATTTTTAGTCACAATAGCAAACTTAACTGGTTCGATGTTCCAAACTTTGCTGAATGAAGACTTTTCAAAATGGTAGAAGTAAACATTCAAATATGTGAATGGGTCTAGTTCTTCTTTAAGTCCTGACATGTACTTGTTTACTGAGATGAATTTTGCCATCTTTTCTATCGGATAAAAAAATATTTTTTTTAAATTTACTCATAAAAATTTTTCTTTGTATATACACCATTCTGTACGTCTAAAAGACTTTTGACATTTGCCAAGAATGTTCGTTTAGACGCTGTCATATAACCATATTCTTGACAATATTGTTTATACGAATCGTACAATGACCTTTCATCTAATGACACAAAGTCAGTTTCATCTATGAACAGTTCATATACACTCTTGTTTGCTTCTAACAATGTTTGTCTCTCTTCGGTATGTGGAATTTGTCTTGGATTGAACTTAGAAATATCTAATGTCATAAAATATGAGAACAAGTGGTTGTAAAAGTCAGATGTCAAAGTTTCTGCTAAGTCGTCAAAATATTCTGTATCTTGCATATGAGAATCTGACGTTCTGACAACTACATATCTTCTGTCAGAACTTTCTAACTTCATCGGAACAGCATTGTTTGAAACCATAATGAAGTTTGCAACATTTTCACAAACTCTTTGGTCTTTATACTTTCTTTCAACAACTCCAACTTTGTCTGTTATAAGACTCTTCAAAGCATCTGAGTTTAAAACTTTTGTTGTATCTATACTTTGAAGTTCGTTACATACTATAAGTTTCATATTCTCTATTGAAGAGTTAAATTTACCGCAGATGTTTTCTAAGTTTGTCATATTAGGGTTCGAATAACCTTCTAATAGTTTGCATAAGATATCTGTAAAGAATGTGTTCTTACCTGTTCCTTGTTTTCCAATTATAATGAGAGCAGTTTCATTCTTAGCACTTGGATGTTGTAAGATGTTTGCAAACCAACATAAGATATACTCATAGACTCTTTCGTTTCCATTGCATATAATTTCTTTGACATGGTCTAACCAAGCTTCTATAATATTTTCTTTCCATTCTACTTGTTCGTATTTATATCCAGTGAAGATAGAATAGAAGTTTGGAGAAGGTGTATAGAACTTTATACCTCGAACTGAAAAATCTTCTAACTTTGACAATAAGATATCCCAAGCATCTAACATCTTCATGCCAACTTGTACGACTTTTATTTTCTTAAGTTTCTGTCTACATTCTTGTTCTGAAACTATTGTCGCTTTAGGTTTGTTAAAGACTACATCCCATTCTTTCATAACATAACATTCTGGGGCAGAGTCGACATAAATGACTAAACGTTTCAAATTCTCGACTGCTTTGTTATAGTCTCGAAATGGACACATATTTCTGAATGCTTGGAAGTCATAAAAATCTGAAACATCTATTCTGTACATTTTTATAAAAATAAAAAAATATTATTTTTTTATTCTTGACTTTGTTGTTCCATTTGTTGCATTTGTTGTTCTTGAGCTATTTGTTGTTGAAGTTGTTCTTGTAATACAATACTTTCACCAGTTGCATCTTCCAATTCGAAACTTTCTGCCGTCATTGACAAATACATAGGACATAAAAGTTTTACAGGAACAAAGTTTGCGTCAACTAATGTCAACGTTATACTTGCCAAAGTGTTTGAGTTCACTAAGGTTGAAAATTCTGCATTCGAATGAACAATAGGCAAACCAGCAGAGAAAGTATTGTTTATACGCATAAGTATCTTTTGGTCATAATAGTTTCTGTCGACATTCGAATAGCACTTTGAACCTAAGTTTGAAACAATATATAAAATAGGTGTACTTAAAGTCAATGGAACAGACATTCCTTGTATGACACCTTTTCCTGTTATAGGAAACTGTTGGTAGTAAAAACCAGAAATAAGTTTTGTATTATAGCTCATATTGTTTATAGTAAACTCAGTCGGACATCCAAACATAACGAAACCTGCTCTAGTTGCAGCACATGTTACACCCGTACTTAAAGTATTAAATAAGTCAACAAAACCTGTTGGTGGTATATCTGAGTAAGTATCTTCAAAGGAGTATTTTTTACCATTCACAACAATAAAGTCTTCTGGTGTCAAAAGAGCAAAACAGGCTTTAGTCGTCATTGTGTTTAAGGTTAGTTTACAATATCGTCCTTGAGGACTTTGTAAGTTTGTTGTTATAGAATTATATGACTCAGGGTTTTTAGTCGTAATAGTATAAACCATTATATCTTCTGCCATTTATATATATTTAAAAGTTTTTCTGAAAGTGGAGAAGAACTTCATCTAAACTTTCACATGGCGTTTCTTGAAGTTCTCTGTCTAAGAAGTTCAAATATTTTGTAAAGACATAGAACTTTCCTTTGTCTACACGAACAAACAAAACAGGGTCTTTCATATCGTTCAAAAGTGTGTAAAGTCCTTTACATGAAATAAAGTCTATATTATTTTTCTTCAAACATCTTTCAAGAAGTTTTGACATTTTTACTTAGCAAATAAATTTTAATGAAATGTTGTGGTCGTCAAATATTTTTATGACGTCTGGGAAACTATACTTTAAGTTCAACGTTTCACCTCCTTTCATAACGTATATCTTGTCAATGACATTATATGAAACACCACAGCAACTAATGTCGGGTTCTATTTCTTTGATGTTTATATCGTCTGCCTCTGTCAAAAGTTTCAATAGTTCTTTCAAAACTTCATGAGGTGCAATGACATATGAGTTCACTTTTACAGGGTTGTGTTCGACCAAGTTTAACATTATACTTAAAGCTTGACAAATCTTCTCCTGAGTTTGAAGTTTGTCTTTCAGTTGTTGGTAGTCGTTTCGAATATCTGCAACAGAACTTAAGTCTCTGCTAACTTCAGGATATGTTGGTTGTTCTTTTACAGGAACAATTGTTATACCATCTTCGTCTTCGTATGGTTTCCCCACTTCAACATCTCTGTCTTTGACATTGACAACAACACTTTGACTGTTTGTTTGAGTTGGTGAATTTAACTTCACATCTGCCACCGCCATTAAACCTTTTGAAACACTTACGCTTCTATTTTTCGGAAATGACATTTTACTTAGAATAAAAAGATGGACGTATTCGAGTATCTCTTCGAATTGAAGCAGAACAAAGTTTACACACACAAACAATACAAATACATTGACAGAATAGTTCTTTATACAAACAATGGAAAATGTTATAGAATAGCAATATTTGCTGAACCAAAATATTTCCATAAAGCAAAGAAAGTTGGTATAACTGAAATGGTGAAAGTTCTTGAAGCAGACAAAAATATAACAACAAAACTTACAGATATTTCTAAAGGTAAGTTTATAATACAATATTATGTCAAAACTGGCGTACTGTCAATATTTGACGGAGAGAAGTCAGTTCAAGAACAACTTACTGACCTGCTGCCAAAATCTGCTCGATGGAAGCTGTCGTTATGCCAATCTGAGGAGCCCCAGCAGGTTTCATCGAACGAATCTTCAAAAGAGCATCTTCCGTGAAAAGTGCTATTGGTTTTGTAAACTTCTTTGCTTTCAATTCATCTGGACCGTCTCTGTCACCAGTATATTGTATTTGTACAGTACCAACAGTTGAAATACCACCCATAAAGTCTTCTGAGTCAGCAAATGGAATGCCAAGCCAAAAGTTTGAACGGTCTCCATTTGTATATTGAGTTTTTTGACCTCCTGTATGAGTCCATACTTTCACATATGGCATAATAGAACTTTGCATTTCAGGGTTAATGGTTGTTGTGAAGTTGTTGTTAAAGTTCATAGCATCTAATGTCAAGTTGTATGACCTCATATCCTCAACTGTAGAATATTCTTCTCTTGGATAATATTTGCCATCTATGTTTATATGATATTTAATACCAGGGTTGTAGAAACAAGAATAGTCATTTATAGTTCGTCTGAACAGTACAAACATAGTATCTGCATGTTTCATTGCAGTTGTTAAAGCAATATCTGTTCTTGCACCTGGGTCAGCACTTTGGTTTCCAACTTCACCTGCAAAGTCTTTGACAGATATTTGGTGTATAGGGAACATAAGTGGAACTGCAATATATTTGGCAGCTAAAGCATTTGAAATATCTGGGTCCAACATATAGACTGCAAGTCTGCTTTCTATTCTCTTGCATTCAAATTTTTCGCATGTGAACTTAACTGGGTCCCAAGCAGTTCCAGCAGCATTGAAATAATAGTTTACTTCATTGTTGAAGTTTGAGAAACCAAAGTCTAAGTCAACTTTGTCTTTGCAAAAGTCACAGAACTTGGCTCCACCAGTTCCAGCTACAGTAATGCTGAATGGGTCTTGTGTTGGTGCAATGACTAAGTTATTTTTGCTTGGAGTAAGTTCAATAGAAATTTTTCCTGCCCAGTTTGGCAAGTATCTTAAAAACCTGAAGATGAGGAAAGATGACAAAGGAACTCTAAGTTTTCAGTTTTACTTTAGTGGCAGCATTTCCATCTGAACCAGAAAGGTTAACATAAACTCCTGGAACGTTAGGGTCAAGTCTTCTTATTTCTCAATATTTGCATACTGGTCTGTTTGTTCTCTAGCTTGTGGTTGTACTGAGTTTCTCAAAGCGAACCATTCATAGTTTGCCCATGTTACTGTTTGAACTAAGTCAGAGTTAGAATATATCTTATATCCCATGAAAACTTCTGGAGCATATTGGTATCCGACATAGAAATTCCATTGCAACCTTTCTTGTCAGACAACTTGGCAGAAGGTTTTATTTCAATGTCTTGTTCCACGTATAAGAATGAGTTGTCAATAGAAATAATATGAAACCTGTCGCAAGCAATATCTACTGTTGTTGAAGAACCTTCTCCAAACTCACCTACGTTTCCATAAGAACAGCAGTTGTATATTCGTAAGTTCCAGGAACTATTCTGACCTTCTAATGGCATTGTCGCATTCGTTATAACATTCGGAAACATTTCCGTTCATGGCATCCAAAACTGTTGGCGTTATATTCTGAGCGGCGTACATTTCATATGGGTAAAAATATAGAATAGTTGGGATATTATATATCATAATAGAACCCACTCGTACCAAGCTTTACTTTCTTCCTGACTGAGTTTTTAACTCTTCTTTTTCCTTCATTGCCACTACTTTCACTAGATGAAGTTACTTCTTCACTATTTTCACTTTGTTCTACTCTTCTTCTTTGGTGTCGCTTTTGGTAACTTGCCCTCTGCTTCAAGTTGTTGCATCTTTGCCTCATGTTCACCTAGTATGTTGTAAATTTCCCATGTCCTTTTTGCCTTTGGGCTCTGGTCGCCCATCTCAGGTAACCTATATCCTAGAAAGATTTTGTCATAGTTTGTATTTGAGTCTTCGCTTATTGTTTGCATGACTCTTTCCTGAGTTTCCGGTTCAAGCTCTTCAAATAGAGCTTGTCCATATGGAATATGCTCGTTTCCAAATATATGTTTTTGTAGCCATTCTGGTTTTCTTTCCATGTTACCAATAATATCTTTTGTGAATGGGAAAGCTTTTACCCAATGTTTCAGTCTTGCGTCATTTATTTCTGTAGTTGGTTTTATTTTGTCAAGGAACATGTTTTTCAATACTAACATTTCATTTGGTACTGTCCATTTGAGTTTTCTTAAATATTCATCCCTTCTCGGTTCATTGTCTGCAAAGTAAGTTTTTATGACATTTTGTAAACTTTCGTTTGCAAGGTCATGTACAATAGGTTCTCTTCCTTCTCTCTCCCTAACTTTCTTTCTAAACTCTTCACCAAATATACCATCTCTATGGTTCTGTGTAGTTCTTTGAGATAAATGTTCTAGAACGTCAGGTGTTATATTTCCATCAGCCATGTTCATTTCATACTGGTTCAAAATATCTGCATGTTTCATATCTTTCAATGGCATTAAAGCCGCGCTGAAAATACCAGCTATATCTGGTTCACCATTCACTTCCATTGCGTCTACAACTTCTTGGAATTGTGGTTGTAAGTTTATGAACCACCTATCCGGATTAGCTTTATGACCCCATCTCATTGTAGTTCCATAGTCTGCAGAAACAAAAGTAGGTTTGTTTCCATATTGGTTAGGTTCTGAATGAACTTTAAACAATGTTTCATTTCTATATGTTTTGTTGAAATTTAACCTTTTATTTTCACCGAGTTCAGCCAAAGATTGAACGTTATATGGTCGTAAGTAAAAAGGATTGTTGTATTTGCGTACATTTTCTTTCAGTTCTTCCATTCTATGCTGAATATTTTCATCTGATGTTGGAGTCTTTTGTATGTCGGCGAACATTTTTCGATATTCTTCTACTATGTCAGCCGAATTTTTCTTAGACTCTTGGAAAGATTCCATATTCTCCGCATACTCTTGTTGAGGGTCAAGATTTTTCGGCTGTTCCAAATCTTCATCTAGTTCTGTGAAGTTAGTTTCCAAAGGAGGGACTTGTTCGTTTCCTTCTGGCTCTTCTAGCTGTTGTTGCTGAACTATTTCTTCCATGTCTGGTTGTATCTGAACTTCTTCCTGTGGAGTTTCTTGTACCTCATCTGCTGGCATTTCATATATTCCGAGACCGTTTTTAAAAAGTTCCCTATCTAAGTCATCCGGACTCATAAACCTTTCTTCTTTCGTTCCGTCTCTATTTTTTACGCGTTTCATGAAGAGAGTTGAATTATCATTTAGCTCTGACACCAAATATCTCGGAGTAAATTCAGTCATGTCATTTGGATGATATGCTATTAAATCATATCCCTTAGCGAGCTTGTATTTTCCAGGTTTGAAATTATATCCCATTTGGTGCTGAACCATAAAGCTAAATAGGTTCGGGTCAGTATTTCCTTCCTTGAACTTTCTAATAGCTTCTTTATATCTGTCACTAAAGTCAAGAGTATCTGGGTAACCATAATCTTCCTTAAGCATTTTTAAGAATTCTTGGTTTCCTTGTTCTCTACTTCTTTTATGTCCTTGCTCTGTTTGTGGTTGTTGTTGTGCAGGGTTTTGAACTGTTGTTTGCTGTGCAGTGTTTTGAACTGTTGGTTGTGGTGCTGGATTTTGAACTGTTGGTTGTGGTGCTGGATTTTGAACTGTTGGTTGTTGTGTTGGTTTTGGTGCATGCCTGTGTCTGTGTCCATGTGACGATGTAAATGTTTTAGGTAGTCCTGGTGCAGGTGCTTCTCTTGGAGGGTTTGGTGGTATATAAGTTCCACTAGCTAGTATATAAGTTCCACCAGCTGGTATATAAGTTCCACCAGCTGGCACATATGTTCCATCTGCAGCATAATGTCCTACCTGACTTTTCGTTTTTAAGAAAGCATTTACTAGGTCTGTTTTGGTCTGTTGTAACTCTTTTTCTTGACTTTCCACAACAGTTGCTCTAACGGCGTCATAGGCACTTTGAACTGCCTGTCTCGTTGCTGCATCTGTTATTTTCGTCATATTTTGTGCTACTTCTCTTAACTCTTTGTCGAAACCTTCAGACTTCAGTTTCTTTCCAGATGAGAAGTCGTTCACTAGTTTCACCTTACTATGAAGAGCTTCGAAGGCGTTCTTAAAGTCAGCATTTGTTAAAGCTTCATTTGAACTGTCTTCATCCGCTTGTATTTTTGTCCTTATTGACCCTATAAGCTGGGCTGCTTTAGCGTTGGCTTGGGCATCTAACCAGTCATTGTTAGCTTTTATATATTCTGCGCTTTTCATTGCCTTTTGCATAGCCGCGTCGTTATTTTTACTTTCTTGTGCTAAGTTTTCATACTGTACGGTTTGGTTTTGCAACTGTAAAAGTTTTTCTGCCTTTACATTTGCTTCAACTTCTTTTTTATACTCATCGCTATCCATATATGTCTTCAGGGCTTTTTGTTTTATTTCTTCATCTTTCAGTACTTTATATTGAGTAGTATGGTTTTTCAAATTTATAACATCTTGTTCCATTTTTGCTACTTCTGCTGCTTTTTCTGACACTTTTTTCGCATATTCCTCTGTACTTAGTTCTTTCAGTTGTTCTTCTTTCTTCTTTTTCTCTACGTTTAACTCATTGAGTTTCTTTGTGTGTCTGTCATATTCTAGTTTCTTTTCGTTTTCACTTATTTGTTTCTGTATGTCTATGTTTGACTTTTTGACATCTGTTATTTGATTTTTGAGTGAACTCAAATTCATTTGACTTTGAGGGTTATAAGCTGTTCCGTCTGCAGCTCCACCATAGCCTGCCATTTTCGCTAAAAGTGCCGCTCTTAAACCTCCACTCTGTGCACCTATAACTCGGTTTAAAAGCATAGGGTTGCTTGACATTTGTTGCAACATAGTGGGGTCATTCATAATTTGTTGTTGCAACTGTTGTTGTGGTGTCAGTTTTACTATTGGATGTTTCAATGCTCTCTTCCTCTTACGTATATTCTTACGTAGCTTACGTGGCATTTTAAGTGAAGTTAAAAAGCGGTTTTTGACAGATGTTTATATGACACTTTTTGTTCAGCACAAAAAACTACTCGGTCAAAGTGTTGTCAGTTTTGTAAAATAACCGTCTTATCTCATTCTATAAGGGGAAATCATGAAAATTCAAGAGGTGAAAAAAGAGGTGAAAAAACAGGTGAGATCTCACCTCTTCACCTAAACTTTATTTTTGGGTCCTTTACACTCATTACGATGAAGAAGTCTTGACAAAACATTTACGATGAAATCATGACAAATTCAAGAGGGTAGAAAAGAGGTTAGAAAAGAGGTTAGATCTAACCTTCTACCCTAAAATATATTTTTGTCTGATTTTACGAAGAAGTCTTGACAAAACATTTACGAAGAAGTCTTGACAAAACATGAAAACATATATAATTTGTGAAAAGTGACACATTATATAATGTTTTCGACCCAGAAGAAGGTTTTCCGAATAAAAACTTCATTTATACTAAACTTTTTATGGGCTAGAGGGCACGAGGTGCCCGGAAGGCCATCCCAAGAAAAAAAAAAACTTCATTATACCAAACATCCTCAGGGCTAGAGGGCACGAAGTGCCTGGAGGCCCCACTACCTTTTTTTTTTTTTTTTTTTTTTTTGAGTGTGCGAAAATACGTTCTTCATGAATTTTTGAACTCATTTGTCTAATAAATTAGTGTTTATTCAGTGTGTGAATGATTTAGTCCTTCTTTTGTTAGTGCTATAAATTTGACTCGAAAGGCATATATGGTATGTTATATATGCCATGATGATACCATATGCTCATAATTCAAATTCCACAAATATGTATTACGTAAGTAAATAGTGTACGCATTCTTGCATTTTTGTTAAAATCAAGATATAATGATAACTATGATTAAATCTTGGCATAAAATTTTTTGTGAAAAGATTTGTTAGTTACTTATGAATGTAATGTTTCTAATATGCGATATATTTAACAACATTACACTCAACGATGTTTCGTTTAACGTTTGGACAAGCAATAAGTTCGCAATTGATCGAATTACAAAAATGACTCAAACATGGATGCAAAATATTCCAGAAATAGATGTATACATGCAATCACTTGATAATGAAACATACGGCTACCTTCAAAAAAATATCGGAAATTCGAATCTACACTTAAATATTATTCCAATAAGTCAGCCATGCTTAATTGGAACCACAAATGATAACGGATGGAATCATGCACAAGCTTTACATACAGTATCTTATAAATATGCATACGAAAAGAATCCAAATAAAAAGATTTACGTTTTTTTAGACGATGATACATACTTTTTTCCGCAATCATTGATATCACAAATTAATTCAGAAGTTTTAAATGGTCCATATGCATTTGGATGTGTATATGGATCTTATATCGAAATAGAAAAATTTTATAATCCGAAAAGAACAAGTAATCATGTTTTCATAAATGGTGGAGGTGGTATCGTTGTTACTAAAGAGCTTCTCAAACTAATAAGTGAGAAAAACTCATTACTTACAACTGCATTTGTATCTCATAAGTTTCCAAGTGATATGAAACTTGCGACCTTTATTGACAGCATCATTGGTCCAATAGAAAATTATCTATTAGCTTGGCCTGGACAATCAAATGCTGAATCTCCTTATACGCTTATTGCAGAACTGGGCATTCTAAAAACTTTTCCAGTAGGATTCCCACGTATTTCATTCCATCATATAATAGATGAAGATGTTCAAAGACTTTGGCGTTCTTCTTCATCAATATTTGCGAATAAGACTGTTTATTGGGATAATTTTTCAACACAAGTTATTAAAGTTCCATTTGATGATGAAATAGTTAATTTCGCATTCGGATATGCTTTCTACAATGACAAACTTCAAAATGAAAGTTGTTTTTCAATAGAAAACCCAGTTCCCGATAATATAGAAGCGCCAAAATATTATAGACAGAGATACAACTGTAATGTAACTGTATATTATCATTGTAATGGCAAATCCAATGAAATTATTTTAGAAAAATTTTCTAATGATGCTTATCACTTCTCCATTCAATGTCCTTCGCCAGTGCCTTATATAAACAAAAGGCACATTGATGTGAAGTATTTTGATTATGATCCTAATTAATATTTTTATTTTTTATATGGATATTGTTTGATTCTTAATAAATTTGTTTGTATTTGTACTGAAATTGATTAATTTTTAAGAAATTTCCTTCTGAATATAGGGATTTATTCTTAATCAATCTGATCAACAAATTGATTATGTAGGAAATCGTCCTAAAGGTCTTAGATATTCAATACTAAAACTAGTTTATTATTTTGGCTATCTGCTCTCATACTAGATCAATATTCTTTAAATTCTCAAATCAAATATACATGATATCAATAGAACAATACAGTTCCATGAAGAGTACAATCATACAAGCATGTTATTAATTGTGTAATGTGATGTTATGAATGAACAAGGTGGGTGAAAAATTCAAAAATACGAAAATGTTTATTCTTTTGTTATAGACCGAAAATAGATTTTTTCGGTTTTCTCTTCAAATAATTGAAAGAATGATACTATTATAGGTTTATTATATTATATAGCATATAATCATGCTATAGCCGAAAATTATAAGTTTTGAGAAGATTGAATATAACACAAATAAATTTGAATGTAAGTTAAATTGCTTGTTGTTTTTAATAGCTATTTAATGAGAAATCCAATATTGCAAAATTCAAATTGAATGATTGAAAGAACAGAAAAAGTCATTCTTTTCAATTTCGAATATGTTTCATTGTATTTATAATTAGATGGCAAATAAGATATTTAAACTTGATTTTTGAAGGAAAATTCACAAAATTGAATAAATTCAAATAATTTTTATTCAAAAATAAACTAGTTATTTGAGTTTAATACTGATTATCTATTCAAACTACAAAGTTTGTAATTTAAAATATTTTGTGAGATCAGATTGAATTAATTCAAGGTTTTTTTCAATTAATATTAATGACCATATTACGCATTTTCGAACATTCTAAACCAAATATATAAAAATGGGAGACGAATGTTAAATTTGCTAGACATGGGGGAGTTGTCTGCAAAGTTTTAGCTCTTATCTCTAACAAAAAATTAATTTTTAAAAAAAAGACCGAATACGTTTCACAGCGAGAAAAAAATAAAAGGCAAGATAGAATTTTCTAGACATAAAGAAGTTGTTTACCGAGTTTTAGCTCTTATCTCTAACAAAAAATTAATTTTTAAAAAAAAGACCGAATACGTTTCACAGCGAGAAAAAAATAAAAGGCAAGATAGAATTTTCTATACATAAAGAAGTTGTTTACCGAGTTTTAGCTCTTATCTCTAACAAAAAATTAATTTTTAAAAAAAAGACCGAATACGTTTCACAGCGAGAAAAAAATAAAAGGCAAGATAGAATTTTCTAGACATAAAGAAGTTGTTTACCGAGTTTTAGCTCTTATCTCTAACAAAAAATTAATTTTTAAAAAAAAGACCGAATACGTTTCACAGCGAGAAAAAAATAAAAGGCAAGATAGAATTTTCTAGACATAAAGAAGTTGTTTACCGAGTTTTAGCTCTTATCTCTAACAAAAAATTAATTTTTAAAAAAAAGACCGAATACGTTTCACAGCGAGAAAAAAATAAAAGGCAAGATAGAATTTTCTAGACATAAAGAAGTTGTTTACCGAGTTTTAGCTCTTATCTCTAACAAAAAATTAATTTTTAAAAAAAAGACCGAATACGTTTCACAGCGAGAAAAAAATAAAAGGCAAGATAGAATTTTCTAGACATAAAGAAGTTGTTTACCGAGTTTTAGCTCTTATCTCTAACAAAAAATTAATTTTTAAAAAAAAGACCGAATACGTTTCACAGCGAGAAAAAAATAAAAGGCAAGATAGAATTTTCTATACATAAAGAAGTTGTCTACCAAGTGTCAGCTCTTATCTCTAACAAAAAATTAATTTTTAAAAAAAAGACCGAATACGTTTCACAGCGAGAAAAAAATAAAACTGTACACTGATTTTCATTTTCATTTCCAGTCACTTTACTTATTATTTTTTCTTTTTTTCATTTTAATTATAAATTATTTCATAATACGTTTATTTACGTTACCATTTTCTTTATTCTTTTGAATTCCATACTAGACACTTATAGAATATTTTGATTGTTAACGTACTTCATTCGAATGAATCCTTACAAAGGGTATGTCGATCGAATTTACCTAATTGGTATTTCCAATCAGATTGAAGAAGGTAAAATGACATGGGAAGAAGCTTGCACCCATGTTCCCATCGCCCCAACCCTTCAATCAAATGATTTCAAATATTTAGATGTTTCAAAATCTTTTTTACAAAATCAATTTAGCTTACAGAATATCCCATTGCCTAAAGGCAAGAAAGGTCGTAGGGTCAATCCCTACGACCAAATCAAAGCTCTTGCTGTGATACATGACCACTGGGCCTTTCTCTGTGGTCAAACAAAACAATGGAAACGTTTGAAATTACAACAAATTGATGTAGTTAGTATGACTATCATGGGTACGGAGGCACTGCGCGCCTCCTTATCCATTATATGTGAATTCGACACTTTACAAAACCGTTAACGTATATTTTACAACACAAACGATAACACTAACTTAACCTTAAATATTTACAAAGCCGCCAACCACTTCACCTCACTAATGTAAAAAATAAACGTTCTCACTTACAAAAGTATTGCAACTCCTCCCATTGCTGTGCTTCACATAACAGCTCATAATCTTCTGACTCACTTTCTTCTTCATATAGGTCAAAATCACTGTCAAAATAAATGTATGTAAGTTTTGACAAAGCTAATGAAACACGCTTACCGTTTGTATCATATGCTTGTATAAACTTTCCATTATGCTTGTAATCATAAACGCTCAAACTAACTTTACCTTTTCTCCCTCGTATCTGATAGAATGTATTTTCACGAGGAACGAAGAACAAATTCTTGAACTCATGACCGTTGTAGTTTGTTATCTCAATAGTTTTCGTCATTACATCCAAATAAAAATTTTCAGTAAAAATAAAACTAATGAAATATTTTATTCCTCACTGTCGTCTGCTTTCTCCAACTCTTCTAGCTTCTTCTTAAGTTCAGCAATGTTGTCCTCATGAAGTTTAATCTTTCTCAAAATTCCTTCTCTATCTAATGGTTGCTTTATCTTTCTAAACTGAACTCTACCATCCTTCATAGTATGAATGTAAAAACCTTCTGGAACCGCTCCTGATTTAATGTATTCTACCAAAAACTTTTGTTTCATTGCTTCAGTGACTTTATTTGTCATTTTACTCTAAGGTGAAGCTAGCACAGCGATAATGGATTTTATGACTTTTTAGTATTTCATGCAATCTTAACAGATAGCCTTACAAGTACTTCCAGTGTCCCTAGCTGTCCCTCCTTTTTATATAACTCCATAACATTTATAATCTCGCGAAACTTAACAGGTAGCATAACAGATTAAAATCAGATGAGGTTTTGAACCAAAATTTCTAAGCAACGTTGTCAAGGATTTTGAGGAACTAGGGACAGAGTGTGGCAAAGTCCAAGATTTAATTTATCTTCATCTGTTTCATCAGCTATCTCATCTAATATGCCAATATTTTATTCATAACTCGTGGCAAACTCACTAACTTTCATTATGTTCATCTGCATGCTTCATCTGATAGAAAGTATGACTTTCATTAACTCTGTGAGATAATGAAAACTACTAGGGACAGAGACCATGGCAAAGTTTATGACTTTCATTATTTCCAGAACTTAATGAAAACTACTAGGGACAGAGACCATGGCAAAGTTCATGATTTAATTTATTCTCTCACTAACAACAAACACAAACTCCAACACTAACATCAAGTACTAACTTCAGCACAAATGACAAACGCTAACAACAAACACAAACTCCAACACTAACATCAAGTACTAACTTCAGCACAAATGACAAACACTAACAACAAACACAAACTCCAACACTAACATCAAGTACTAACTTCAGCACAAATGACAAACACTAACAACAAACACAAACTCCAACACTAACGACAAAAATAAATGTCCTCACTTCTTAACAAAGTAATATGTGCTTCTTACACCACCATAGCTCAAACGTTTCTTTTCAAACATCGATTGAAACTTATTTTGAGCCATTGGCTTTAGTCTCTTTTTCTTCAAATACGCCAAGAAATCTTCTTCACATCTTTTCACTTCATAGCCTTCTTTAAACTCCTCCTTGTTAAGTTCTATGAAATCCTTTATATCATTCTTTGTTGCAATGGCTTCTTCACGAACGACATCGTGAACTATTTCATCATTGCATTCATGTATGACCTCCTCACTGTTCTCATGAACTATTTCAACACTGTTCTCATGAACGACCTCCTTACTGTCTTTCATAAGCGTTTCAAAGTCTCCTTTACTCATTACTTCAATCTCATGCTGTTCACAGTAGTACTTAAACTCACTGTATATGTCTTTGTTGTATGTTATATTGCTTCCCATGTACTCCATGAATTTTTCAAGCACTTCCTCATAATTCACTGTTTCTTTCTTTCCACGACCTTCTAATATCATACTTGCTTCGTAAATATAACTTCTTGCAGAACCGTCTCGCTTTCTACTTCTCTTCACAAATTCTCTCATCTTGCCACCAAATACATTTGAACTACATGCAAAGAATTCATTCTCCTTCACAAATTCTTTATATCTTCTGTAGCACTCTGTACAATTCCATCCGGATACAAACTTTTCATAGAACTCCTCATAAAACATTTGGTAAGGTGTTTTGTTCATTTCGATGAGTTCTTGTTTAGCCCCGGTGAATGGTATCTTCCTTACATCAAATTCACTTAAATCTTTCTTCATGAAGTACGTCAGTAAGTTTGAATAAAACTCTTCATTAAAGCTTTCAATGAGATTTGAGAAATATTCGTAATTTCCTTTGTATCTGCTGCTTACGTCAATGACAACAAATCTTCTGTCGTCTTTGTCAATCTTTACTGAGTTGAAGTTGTTAGATATCATGATGATATTACAAACATTCTCTATCTTTCTTACTGGCTGACACTTCTGATTTAAGTCCAACTGAGTCTCTGTTA